ATTTAATTATCCTTATTAGGGGTGATTGAATTGAAATTTAAATATTCATGTCAATATTTGCTCAGAATTTTCATGTATTCTTTGGCTGTTGTCCTGATGTGTGTTCATCAGGTAAGTTCCAGTGTTCTTTTCCTGTTTTAATTTAAAAATTAAGTATCTGTGAATTGATGCTAAAAAAAAATATTACCCATCACAAAATGAGTTACATTGCCCTTTTCTATCTATCTGTGGGAAAGTCCTTTGCGGGTATGTGTGTAAGGGGGTGTTGGGGACAGGGCAGCCTTCTGTACTTAATTGCAATACTCTCTGCTTCACTGTTTCCACAGACATTCTGCTTCCTGCTAAAATGGCCTTTCTGTTAGCCATGCCCTCTCTGCTTCTCTGAACCAAACCGTGTCCAGGAGGTCGTCTGCTGCCAGTCCTGCTGCCCCTCTGCCCACTTCCTTTGCTACATCAAAGGGGCATATCTTTTGCACTTCAGGGTGAGCCCCTCACCTTCAGAGAGCACATAGTTGTTGAGTTTCCTGACATGTGCTGCCCAGGGCTATCTGCTATTCTCCCTCAGTGCAGTTCCTTCTTTCCCCATCTTCTCCCTAGTAAGACCTCTGCTTTATCTTCACTCAGTCGGCTTTCGATTTCATGGTTCTTGTAATATGCAAGGATACAGGTTGTCACTCAGGGTGAGCCCATACTCAGAAAAAGTGTACTTTGCTGGCTTTTTGTGTGATCTCTTGCCATTGGGCCTTTCTCACTGTTTGCTTCCCCCTCTCATTATAGATTTATGGCTGATATTAGCTAATATTTGTAGCCCTTATACAGTGTGAATTGTTTTGCTGAAAGTGCAGCTCTCCCCTGTACCCCTACCTTGTTTGTTTTGTTCGATACCCAGGGTGAGAAGGTTGGTGTTCCTTGGGGCCTATTTATATTGGAGGTGTGATATAATCTTGAGTGTAGACTTTTAGGGGAAATAGGGAGGGAAGCTGAGGAGAGCTGTTATGAAGCTGTTACAGCTGTTCCGGTGTGTTAATGATGGACTTCTTCACAGTGGTAACTTGGAAATGGTGAGTAGTAGTAACATTCTGTTGGAAAGGAAGCTGATTGAGGATTTGCTAATGGATTGGTGAAGTGAAAGAGGGAAGTCATTTGCAACTGTGCATGTTTGTTTTTCAAGTGCTTCTCTCTATTGGGGAGTCATTGCAGACTGCAAGCAGGCAGAACCTGCTCAGAGGAAGACCCCTGAGTGCTTGCCATCTTGCCCTTATCAGGTGGAGTCCTTTGGTATATTTAAATTCTGGAGGGAAGGACCTTTCCTTCGTTTGTTCTAGGTTTGCTGTGGAGGTCTCAAGTGCCTGACGGCTCAGTTCTGCATCTATTTCTGGTCCCAGCAGCCAACACAGGGGTCCTCCAGATGCACACCCTCCATTCTGCTTAGAGGCTGGGTCTTGGGCCCTGGTAGGGTTAATGCTGTATCTGCTCCACATAAAAAGGGAACATCTGCTCTTGCTTGCTAAACTGAGGATCCTTGGCCAAATAGAACGGCCTCCAAATTTGATAGAACCTCTCAATGTGTATTTTTTCTACTTAGATTAAATCACTACTTACTGTCTGCCATCTTGATCTGGTTGTTTGCATTGTTCCTTAAGAATTGAGGAGAATATGGAAGAAAAAAAATTTGGGAGGTTAAGGTTTTTTATATTCAGAGGTTAGAAACTGAATTGGCTAATATGTAATATACTAGAGGCCCGGTGCACAGACTCGTGCACCAGTAGGGTCCCTTGGCCTGGCCTGTGGGGATGGGACTGAAACCAGCTCTCCGACATCCCCCGAGGGGTCCTGGATTGCAAGAGGGCACAGGCCAGGCCGAGGGACTCCACTGGTGCACGATTGGGGCCGGGGAGGGATCACAAGAGTACTCCAGGGCGTGTTGGGCCCATCTAGCCCAGTCCCAATTGGAGCTGGTTGGCCAGGGAGGGACTGAGGGAGGTTGCAGCTGGGGAGGGACCACAGGAGAGTTCCAGGGCATGTCTGACCCGTCTCGCCCAGTCTTGATCGGCCAGACCCCAGCAGCAAGCTAACCTACTGGTCAGTGCATGTCATAGCAACTGGTCGAATGGTCAGACCCTTAGCATATAAGACTTTTATTATATAGAATATTATATAGAATACTAGAGGCCTGGTGCACAAAAATTTGTGCACTCAGGAGGGGGGGGGGCCCCTCAGCCC